TACTATTAGTAAATTATAAAAAGTGTAATAATTAAAGTTATTCTTCATGATTAATTCTATAATATTCTATTATAATTAATATTACTAAAAGTAAGTGTTAATAAAATGGTTAAAGGTCAATAAAAAAATTTTTAATTTATAATTTTTTTAAAAATTACAAATTTTTAGTTTATAAGTAATCTTAAATTATTTATTATATAATTAAAAAATAAAATTTACTATAAAATTATATATATTTATAAAATTAATTTAAAAAAAAAATTTTTTTAAAATTTTAATTTTTCATAAAAGTAAATCAGAAAGAAATTTATAGTAAATAAGTAGGCAAATTTATTTGTAACCCTTTACAGTTTAAGAGATAATATTTTATTTATATATAAAATAAATAAAATGATAATTATAATAAATAATTTATAATAAAATAATCTTATAAATTTAAAATTTTTGACAATTTTGGATTATTTAAAATATATAGAACTTTTATATTAATTTAAGTATAAACTATTTAAAATTATTTAAAAATTGATCTAATTCAATAACTAATTAATATATTCAAAACCTATTATTACTTAAAATTTTTTATTAAAACTATTAGATAATTATAATTTTAAAGTATATAAATATTTAATATATTGATATTATTAATATTAATTAATTTTTATATAATTAAATTAAAATATATACATATAGAATTTAAAATAATATTACTTTCTAGTTATTATAAAAATTTTTAAAATAATTTTTATTAAAATTTAAAAATTTAGATATATTGATTTTTATGTTTTAAGATAAAATAAAAATTTAAAAAATTATTTAAATATAAATTTATTAAGTAATATTATAAAGTTTAAAATAATTAAAATAATTATATATTTAATTAATAAGTTATATATTATTTTAATTTTTTAAGTAGAATATTTTATAATTTTTTAATTTTTTATTAAATATTTATATATATATAACAAATATATTATTATAAAAAAGTTAGCAAAAAAAAAATTAATTTAAATAATTTATTATACAATTACAGAATTTTAGATGATAAATTATTTATAATTATAAATTCAATATTAATATTATTTATAAAAAATTTCTTAGTAAATATAGGATATATGAATACATATATGATATATATAAACTTATTATTTTTAGTTTAAGGTTAATTTAATGATAGTATATAAATTAAGTTTTTATTTATTATATTATATTATATTTTACTATATTTTGTTTTTAATATGAAAATGAGGCCTTTGCAATAGAAAGGGAGGAAACTCAAAAAAAAATAAAAAATGAGTTAATAATAAATCTGAACAAATTATAGTATTTAGAACATTTTTGGCTTATAAACTAAAATTTTAATTTTTTTAGAGTTTTTTTCCTTTCTATTGCAAAGATCCCAAATGGTCTAAAATTACTATTTTTTTATTTTGTGATCAGATATTATAGCTTATAATATGATTATGTAAAATAAATTTTATTATTTTATAATATAGATAAGAGACAAAAACCCTTTAAAGATAGTTAAAACTTAAACGAAACTATATTAAAATATAATAAGGGATATGATAAAATCCTTTTGATACGATAAAACCTAAAACTGTTGAAATTATATTAAAAACATAGAAAAGGGTATAACAAAATTATTTTGAGAAGGTTTTAGCAGGCATTTATAGTTTAATCATGTTATTCATATTATTTATTATAACTATTTAATTATTCTAATGATATAAATAGTCTAAACTACCATTAAAAAAAAATTTTAAGTTATATAGTAAAAAAAATCAGAAATATATATTTGACATAATAATTGTTTATTTTAAGATTATTTTATATTAAAAATCAAAAAAATAAGATGATTTAGATTTAGAATTTTTGATTTAAATTAGGTAATTTTTATAATTAACTAATTTTATAAGATTAAATTTATATTATATTTAATAAAATATTTTAATTTTAATTTTATATATTTAATGCCACAATTTGTTTAGCAAGAAAAAAGCTATATTATGAGAAAGATAATAATTTAATCTATTATTTAACAGAGAGTTTATTTAAAAAAAACCTATTATTTGATCACTTTTATTCTTTTAAGTTATATAATAAAAAGTAGTAACTTTAGACATTTGCATCATAATTAATTTAAAAACTTATAAATTTTTTTACTAAAATAAGATTTGTCACTACTTTTGTGTTCTGATATTCTATGTATTACTTATTTATAAAGTATTAAATTATAATTCTAAAATTTATTAAAATTTAATCAAATTTGATTTACTTAAATAATATAAAAAAATGTTAATATTATATTTATATTATAAATTTTATATAATATATATAAAAATCAGATTTTTATGAATTTTTAATAAAATTGAGATTTTATTACATCTTAATTTGAAATTTCTTAGATTAATCTTTTCAATATTTTTTAACAGATAACTATATCAAAGGATAATTATGTATAAAATATTATTATAATTTTGATTAATTATTTATTTAACGTTAAAGAATTTAAAATTCATAGATAATCATTCATTAGTATAAAATATCCTTGAAATAAATATTTCTTATTAACCCAATATGCAATTTTAAGCGTTATTTAAATTATCTATTTTGGATAATGATACACAAAATTACACAAAATATTTAATGAAAAACATTTGGTTGCCTGGATAAAAGAAAAAATACATTCAACCGAGTTTGGATCGGGCCCCTTATTAAGAGATCTTTTTTGTCTGACAAATTCTTCGGGGAAAGGGTAAATTTATAAGGAAATTGCTTTACTAATTTAAATAAACAGTTAGCCTCAAACTTGATTGATTTAAGAATAACATCCTTTTTTTTATAAATAAAGTAAACCTTAAAATCATTCTCTCAGAAAATGTCTGATAATTTAGGGTATGAAAATCTGAAAGAACTTGATAATTTAGAAATAATTGTGATTGTTGATAATGCAGTTGACACATTGTCTTCTTCGAATGCTAATATCGGAAATATCGCAAGTAAATTAATTTACTAAATGAATCGACTTGAAATATTTCTTTTAAAAAAAAAAAAAATAAATTTGTATTATTTTATTAGATGAATTAAATAGAAATTTAATAAATAGAAAGGAAACTTTGGATTTTACGGAATATTGTTGTGGTGCTCATGGTTATTCTATTCTTATCGTAAGTTACAGTAAATTATAATATAAAATATATATATATATATTGGAAATATTAAAAAATAAATGATTAGTTGACTTGCAAAATGGACAATAGATATTTATTTTTTTTTTTAATAAAAAAATAGACTGGGACATGCGGTAAAGAATCACATTCAGTGTTGTTTGATGCCGGACCATATGGACAGATTTTTATAGACAATTCACATAAATTAGGAATTGATTATTCAAAAATCGAAACTGTGGTAATGTTATTTTTTATATGTTGCTATATAACTTTTTTATTAATAGCATTTATTAAGTTAAAATTAAAAAATTTTAAAGGTATTGAGTCATTGGCATTGCGGTAAGCGTAAGAATAAAAAAAATATTTTTGTTTGCTAACGCATTCATTCTTACGTGACGTCAATTTCGTTAGACCATTCGGATGGATTACCAAGGGCGATTGAAGCAATAAGTGAAGCGAGACGCGGTCACTCTTCAAAATTAATTATTGATTTACCGAAAGATAGACCATCTCGTCGAGGAATGAGACTTCCCAAGAGTGATAACGTAATGGTTATTAATAATCCCACATTTGAAGAACTAGAAAAAGCTGGCGGTGAGTTAGTTAAATCTAGTGAACCTCATACAATATGCTCAAATTTCTTTTATGTGAGTGGAAGAATATCTCGACAAACTACGTATGAGACAGGAATCAAGAATCATGTAGCATACGATGAAACATTATCAACATGGAAGGAGGACCCGTTAATTAATGAAGAAAGATTTTTAACAGCAAGAATTAAAAATAAAGGATTAATTGTGTTTTCAGGTTGTAGTCATGCAGGAATAATTAATACTTTATTACAAGCTCAAAATCCACTTTCTAGTAAACAACAAGAAAAATATCCGATTTATTTGGTCATGGGAGGATTTCACCTAGCTGGTTACGATCAAGAAAGTAAAATTAAAGAAACAGTAAGAGATTTAAAAGCATTAATTAATCCCGCTTATTTGGCTCCAGGTCATTGTTCTGGATGGAGGTGCAATGCTGCTTTAGAACATCAATTGCACGAAGGTGAAGCCGCTTTTGCTGGAAGAGTTGCGCCGTCTGCTGTTGGAAAAATTTATAATATTTCTTATAAATAATAAATATTTACAGTAAATTAAGTAAATTATTTATTCGTGTAAACGATAATAAAAATCTATTTATAACATCTATAAATATTTATTTGGTATCACCTTATTTAATTTTAATTTTTAAGGTAATATTTTTAAACACGACATGGAGTTCCTTCAGTATCACACAGGTTCATTCATCCAATATCAAAGATTATATTATTATATACTGTATTTACATATATATATATTACTTCTCTGTTGTGCTAGAATTTTTTTTTTCATTTACAAATTCAGTTCGGATTTGATTTTCAAATGTAGGATCAAAAAGGATTAATTCATGTATTTATTAAGTAATTTGATTATTGAACCAATCTTTCAAAAAAAAAAAAAAAAAAAAAAAAAAAAATATTGTAATAGATCATTCAAATAAATTCCGCATTTATTTTGATAATAAACACCGATCTCGTGACTAATTAAAACGGCAATGACGTAACGTGGATTCACTAAAAAAGATGATATTTAAAATATTTAAAATTAGCCAATTCAAGTTTATCACTTGATATAAAAAATTTCTATAGGATTTTATATACATAAATATTATAATTCAAACTAACTCTTTCTCTATAACTAACCCTTTTTTTTCTTTTAAAACCTCCGAGAGTTCTTCTGTGAAGGAAAGTCGGTATTATTAAATACAATGACAAGTCCGGTAACAATCTCTCGAACTTTCAATATGTCAGCAACATCACCCATTGACTTGACGAGTTCACCGGTGTCTGTTAGAAGAACTCATTCAGTAGCACCAGATGAAGTTGTAATAATAAGTGACAATGAAGACGAGCCTTCACATAATTGTAATTATCATGATTACAATAGAACAACACATAGTTTCGATAACCAAAATCTTTTCCATTCTCCAACAACCTCAAGACATTCTAATAACAATCAAGCTTCTACAATCAACAATGCAAACTATAATCTTAGAAATGGATTAACAGGACTCGGTACACATGGTACACATTCTTCCAATGGGGGTGGCGGTCCTATTAGGAATACTTCAACACGTTCTAGTCGAGCACATAGTAGACCACCTTCAACTTTAAGAGGTAGTTTATATATTTAAATTTTTAATAGTTATTAAGATCTGATTTACTAATTTTTTTTTTAAAAAAAAAAAAAAAAAAAAAAAAATTATATATCCTTTAGGCTTATTTATAGTGAGCGCTCAGTCTAATAGTCATACCCTTCGACATCGACAGCATCATCATACTTCACATACTTCAGCATTTCATCCATATGCTTCAATAATTATGGATGGTATAAATTATGAGGGCGGTAATTCTTCAGGATCTTCCAGACTTCCTACGGTACCACCTTTCTTTGAAGCTAGTACAAATTTAAACTCTAATGAGATCCAGATACTCACCACACCACCACCTCCACCACCATCATCATCAACGTCACGTAAGAGAGCAAATAATTCCCCTAAACCAACAATAACGACAGCGGGCCATACAAGAGATCTGGAAGAGTCTCATATATTAATTTGTGCTGGTTGTAATAATTTACTTCATGAAAAATTATGGGCTTTAAATGGTTGTGGGCATGTAGTATGTGGTTCTTGCGTTGATAAATTTTCGGGAAAAAAAAAAATTGCCTGTCCAAGTTGTAAAAAAAAACCAACATCTACGCTACAATTATATGTGTAATACGATTTTTCTTTGAATTATCGGAAAATCAACTTGAATTATGCAAATATCTTCTTCTCTATTTCTTCACCATTTTTACGTGGACTTCATATAATCTTTCTTTCGGTGTTTCTAATTCTTTTTGTTAGTCCTCATTTTTTTTTTTTTTTTTTAAAAAAAAAAGACAGGTTGATGATTTTGTAATTTAGATAATTTTTTTATTAGGTTATTTAACTTGAGAAGAAAAAAAGGAATTGAATTATTTAGTGGGATTGATGTAGTAAAGAGAAGATATTATTTGTAGATATGAAAATTTTTAATTAAGAAAGTTAACAATAACAAAAATTAATAATAATTTATAGAATTTTTTGTTTATTTCAAAGGAAAAAAAAAAAAAACATTTTCACAAAAGTTTCAAATATGTATAATTTCATTATTTTCATTTATTCACATGTACAAGCAAAGGAAATGTTTTCAAAGTATAGAATGATTAAAATAAGATTTAACAAATGATATTATTATTTAAGATATAAAAAGAGCAATTGAAGGGAAAAACTTTATAAGAAATGTTGGTTATTTATTGTTTCCCTTTTAAATTTTATAATCACTTTCTTGTTTTACCTTATTATTTTGATCTGATGTGAGGGAATTGTTTGTATTTTCTTTATTGTTGTCCTGAATTATTTCATCTTTTGAATGTTGAATTTCTGTAGAATCTGTTGACATTTCCTTTGGTAAACCTTTAGGCGTAACTAATTGATTCTCAGAAGTATTGTTTTCCTTTTTAAATTCTCCGCTATCTTTATTTAACTCAGCATCAATTATCATCTCAGCATCTTCTTTAGGTGCGTTTTTTACTGATTCGGATGATTCATCTGTTTCCATCGTTTCATCTCCACCAGGTATAGCTGTAATAACTTCAGGTGGCATTTGACTAGACTCATGGTGTTGTTGTGTGCTAGCTACTGTTTCAACTGTATTCATCTCATCTTTCTCATCTTTGTAATTCGCACCAGATGATTGATTGTCCTCTCGATTTGTTATAGCTTCAGTGCCTTGTTCGAGAGTTACTTGACCAGACTCTTGGGTTTGTATGTTCATTCCTGTTTCAAGCGACTCGTCAGCTACTTCCATCTTACTTTCATTATTCGCAACAGATTCGTCCTTTTCGTTTGTTATGACCGTATTTCCTTTTTCATGTGTTACTTGACTAGGCTGCTCCTGTGTTTCTGTGTTTACTCCTGTTTCGGGTGATTCATTACTCATTTCCATCGCATCGCCTTCATTATTCGCAACGAGTTGTTCGTCCCCTTTGTTTGTTTCATGTGGTACTTTGCTAGGTTCATGGGTATGTATGCTTACTGTTACTTCATAAGATTTTTCAGCTACCTTTTCACTCTCATTATTCGAAACAGATTCTCTCGTCTCGTCATAAATCGCTTTTTCCAATCGTCCTTTCAAAAATTCGAAAACGGGTTCAATGGCTGTACCAGAAGTATATTCATGTTTTGAATGGCCTTTATTATAATTTAGGTAGATGAGTAATGATGATAATGAATCCATAATAATTAGAAGAAAAAATAAATTCCTCACCAGCTGATGTACATCTACATCCATAAAATTGGGATGCTTCTTCTGGCACAGGATCATTTAGTGGCAAAGAGGATTTAATCCAATTTACGGTACAACCACGGAACCAACGGTCAGAATGTTTTGGTACCATTCCGGAGCTATGCACGCTATCAGTAAGTGCAATTCCTTTAACACGTGATTTAAATTCATCAGCTAATAAGAGGAAAAAAATTTTTTTTTTTTTTTAATAATGTCTTCATTAAAAGTAATTCAATGTTTTTTTAGATTGATGATGCGCTTACCTAAATGGTCTATCATAGCAGTAGTGCAAATACCACCAAAACTATGCGCCACAAGTAGAATCCTTTTCGCTTTCGCCTTTCTGTTAAGAGAGTTAATTCTAGAGTGCGAAAAAATTTCTTTGTTAAAAAAAAAAGAAGATTCTTACCTTACAAACCTCTCCCATACGTATATACAATGATTTTGCGGCGATTCCGAACCATTTATTTCTTTGAAGCCACATTCCTTGAAAATAATGAATAAACAGATATAATATTATATAAGAATTAATTAAAAAACATGAAAAAAAACAAAAAAAAAAAAAATCCGCACTATTCCATCTTTGTTGATGCGTCCATAATTTTCATTGGGATTAAATATAATAATTCCCCAATTTAATTCTTGGGCCTTTTTAATATAAGGGAACATGGATCCATGCTACATTCAACATCCAAAATTGAAATTTGAGAAATAAATATTAGATAAATTAACAGAGTGCTTCAAAGAATTTCAGAATACAGGGTTTTCAACCTCAAGAGAATCGTTAATGATCACTATGATTAAATGATTGATCAATTAATAATAAATCAATTAATTAATGCAAATCAAGAATTAACGCGTTTTGCTAATTAATGATAATCTATAAAATCTAAAGAAACCTTGACGTGCCCATTGTCCAGGTCGCACTACTCCACTTCCTTGAATTAGCAAAAGCAAAGTTTGACAATCTAGGGCATCTCCACTACATGAAAGATATTTAAAATCAGGAATCGTAATTTCAGCCCCCACCTCCTCTTTTTTTTTTTTTTTTTATCTTTCTTTATTTCGTAGGTACCTGAGATAAATTCGACTTTTTGGAAATCCATTTTCATCCGGTTCCACCGGAATCGGTTCTTTGATGAGGTTAAATCTCTTCACTAATTGTTCTTCAATATATACACCAATTACCTCTTTACGATATAAATGAACATAAATTTAATAAAGTCTAAAATAAAAATGATTATTCTGACATTATTAAATTAAAATGAATAAATAAATGATTTTTAGTACCACCCAATGCCTCATAGTGTCTTTGGTTATAAGAACGATCTTCGGGTTTAACAACGAACAAAAATCTTTCTTCTAATTAAAATTTAACGCCAAAAAAAAAAAAAAAATTAGTTTTTTTATTTTTTATACATATTGACAATTCTTAAGCATATATCCTCTAAGCATACTCGTTTTAATATTTCTTAATTCTCCGTTTTCATTAAATTTGTATCCATACTCTTCGATTTTTTTTGGAAAAACCTCTCTTTCTGTATATGACTCCATGACCAAACACTTTCAAAAACGTTGATAAACACGTAAAGGGAAAATCTGGAACGTCAAAGAAGAATTTAAATAGAAAAATGCCAGGAGTTTTTTCAAGTTAGAAACTCCGATATGATACGCAATATGAAAATACTCCGGATAACATTCGACTAACTGGCCGGTTACTCTGAAAAATTGGCATTCAAGAAACTTTTAATTCATGTAAAATAAAATTACTGCATTATAAAATTATATTATACTTTTACAATAAAAAAAGTTTTTTGTTATATATGCATAAGGGCATAAGCAATACAAATGAATTTAAATTTTTTTTTTTTTTTTTTTTTTTTTTAGAATGTTTACTATTTAATCGGAAACTGGAATTTCCTCATAATCTTCCCATTCGTGATTACCAAGAAGATCTTCCAAGGAATCGGACACTACTTCAGTCTGACTAAAAATCTTTTCAAAGAATTTAACAGCTTCTTCCGACTTCTTGTATGATATGCGATGGGACACTTGCTTTGAATTCTCTTCTTCCACGGCTCTTCTGAATCGTAATCGAATATTTTCTGATGCCAAACGCATTTTCTTGCGACCTTGTCTTACAATGCGATTTGCTTGGGAATTCACGTAGTCCGAACGTTTTAAATAACAACGAATTTTACGAGCAACTTTACGGGAAATCACACGCTTGGTGTCATAGAGTACATAGGTAGTAATACCGATCCCTGTAAAATCATATTAAAATAAATATATAAAAAAAAGAATATGTAAAAGTCAATATCAAAGTAAAATACACAACCAGCTAGTCCGACTAATGGCAGAAGTAATCTTCGCATGTTATTAAAGCCTAAGAAGTAAGTTACATTCCACAAATATGAAAGGCCATTCAACTTTGTTGCGGTACACATAACAGCTGCACCAGTTAGACCTACAATACTCAATTCTTCACTAAACCTATCGTTCAAATTAAAATCAAAGAAGTCGGAAATCTCTATATTAATCGAGATGGGTGTGCCACGCTTAGCATACATTTTATCGAGATTAATGTGCTTGTCCTCCCCTCTCAAATCTCTTCCAAGATCTTGGATTAAATCAATACATTTGGCGGTCTGTTTTTTAGCATTTTCTTCCGAAGCTAAAACTTCTCTATAAATCTCATCCAACATAGAATCACGAAGGTCGTTCGCATAACTCCAGATATAAACTAATCCATGATATTCGCATGAAGTAAATTGATCAACGTTTTCGATGGCTCTTTCCAAAGATCTTCTAGTAAAGTCTCCTATTTCCTCACAGGTACGATTTTCTGCTTCATCAGCGGTTGCGGCAGCTGCCTTTTCATCAGCAACCAACTTATTCAGAGTGCGCTCTGCTTCCTCAAGCTCTATACCTGCCTTATAATTTTCTCGTTGGGCAATATTCTTGTTAAACTCGACCAATACACCAATGTCGGTTACCAAATTGTCAAGGTAATGTTGAGCAGGTGCGAGTTTCGATTTTGATCGTTTTTTCAATACAAAGGTACGTAATGACTCTTCGAGACGGGCAAAGTCTTCAATACTCTTTATATCATTGACATTTTGATCGATAGCGCTGGAAAGACGAGACGAATGATTAACATCATCATCTTTTTCAACCTTTATGGCCGTAGATGTAACGAAATGAACCAAATCTTCTGCGTGTTCATGAGTACGTGGAGAAACCTCTTTGATTTGTTCCAAAATCGCTCGTTTACATTTTTCTTGCATTCTAATGTTGTCAAACCTATTAACGACTATGAAAAGGTAAGCTTTCTCCTTGGAAGCGTTAGACAAAAATTCTTTAGCAGACAAGGTGAAATGATTTTCGGCGCTAACGACGAAAATGATAACGTCAATCTCTTCTTGTCTAGCAAATAATGCCGTGGTTTTGAGAGTATCCCTATTCAAACCAGGACAATCAATCAATGCGATATCGATGATTCCATTATGCAATAAACTTTCTTGAGCGTTTCGACGATCCTTTGTGTATACTTTTAATTGAGCGTACTCTCCTGATTCTTCATTATTAACAATCGTATCATACAAATCATTCCATTCAATAACCGTAAAAGTTGATGCGTCCGTTCTTTTGTATGAAGTAAAGTCTTTGATAGCGTGGATTTCTTCAGCACCATCATTTTCCTGAACATCAAGTACTTCGCAGAATAAAGTTGTACATGGTTGTTGGTCAACTGGCATCACCTCTCTCTTCAGGAGGGCATTTACGAATGTACTTTTTCCGGCGTTTACGTCACCCGCAACCAAAACTTTAGAGCTGGTGTCGGAAACTCTTGCATGAAGATTTTCACATCGTTTAATAATATTAGCGAAGCAACCATCTAATAAAGTGGCAATTGCGTCTTTTTTCAGATCTCCAAAGACAGTCTCGGCAGAAGACGTATCCCCTTTTTTCAAATCAAGCTTGAGAACATTTAATTTTGAATTAAAATCTTGAGATGTTGACATGTCAGATTGAAACTGCAATCGATCAGTAACCTTTTGCTTAAATTTGCTCATTTGAGTTTTGTTACTAACAATCCTGAGACCTTTATCATCATACATTGGACTTTGCAATTCTGGCATTTGAGAAACAAAAGGATAGTGCAAATCCCATCGTTGTTTGTTAGTTTCACGAACTTGTTTAAGGATCGAACAAGAATCGCTCAAAAGACCCATAAGCTTCTTGGATTTTTGCGCAAAAGCTTGGTTACACTTAAACATGCCATTATGTATGTTTGAGTTCTTGGGTTCGGTTGAAGGTGAGGAGGGAACAGAAGATGTATTTGTCTTTATGTTACCACGAAAAGACTGTAAATTTGACAAACCATTTTCTGAAGGTTTTGAGGACTTTTGTTTATTTTTTGAAAATGAAGCGCTCATAAATGACGAAGACATTCTAAGAATTTGAGTATATCTTTACTATTTAATAAATATAAGTCTTTTAATTCATCGGTAGCGTTTACAAAAATACGAGCCAACGAGAAAGAAAAAAAAAATTATGGAGATTATTATTGATTGTTTTTCAAATCACGTGTTTATTACCAAAACGAGACATTCGCGCGGATTTTACCTGCTTTTATACGAGTTTTTTAATTAATCAATATAAAAATTAAAATGTGGGCTTTATTAGACTGACTTGATTTAGAAGATCATTCTAAAAGATCGGCACGGGTGAAGCCGCATGATTTAATGCGGATCAATCTTGATCTCTAAAACGTTTTCGAAAAATCATTTAATAAAAAAAATATATGGCTTACGATCAAATTTTAATAACTGGGAGAGAACGACCCAAATCATGATAAAGTAATAAAATTATAAAACAATCTCATTTCAAATGTAAATAAACCTTTTATTCGTAACATTGTACAACTATTGTTGTTGCTTCCCTCGCATTTTGTCTGCAACTAATTCCCTAAAATCGGAAATAATCTTATTTTCTTTCTTGGCCTTTTCCTCTTGATTAAATAACATTACCGCTCGTTTCTCTTCTGCGGATATAACTTGATTTTCTTTACGAATACGAACAGCATTCATGCGCCTATGACGACTACCGCTCATAACATAACCAACGTCCTCAAATGATTGAATTTCGTTACTTGTTAACCCAATTTCACCACGACGTGGTATACGTTTTCCTTCTTGAACATACGCTGCCATAGCCGAACCTTCCCCTGCAAGCAATGCTCCACCATAATCTCTCTCTCCTAGTTTTGGTTCATTGACAGGTATAGGTAAAGGTCCTACTATTGAATCTTCCTGCTGTTGTTCTAACCTTTTTTCCACAATTTGTTCAATCTCGTTATCGATATATGGAACCTCTTTAATATCTGGAGATCCTTGATCTTTAACTGAACTTTCTTCATGATCAGTTTCACTGTCGCTTGAAGGACTGCTATGTCGGTGTTTCTTTTGTTTTCTGTGTCGCTTTGAACTTTTTTTATGTTTTGATGAACGATGTTCCGATTTAGATTCAGATTTTTTATGTTTTTTCGATTTAGATCTTTTCTTCATATCTTCACTATCCGATTCACTAGTTGCATAGCGAGATCTTTTTTTATACCGTTCCACTGAATTTATTGACTCATGCTCAGGTGAGGAAGGCCATATTGAATAAACAATTTCTTGCCTACGACGTTTTCTTTCGAGAAAAAAATCTTTATCGGGAACTCTTCCTGTAAAATCACGCCGTCTACTCATCTTCTTTGAACAAGTCAAGTTTGAAAGGTTACTACTGTTAAAATATGTTAAAAATGTTAATCACGTGTATCGTGTGTATATATATTATAAAATGTTACGCTGTAACCCTAAAATAGCTAGTATGATGAATTGTCAGGCCAAATATTCCCCAAATTATTATCGAATACCACAATGAATTCGACGAATATTGAGGAACAATATTATGACGATTTATACTTCGATTCAGATACAGCAGACGAAGAGACGGAGAATTCAACTAAAGGTGATAATTATAATTCTTGGCAATTATGACGCGTATCAACTTCTTCTTTTCTGATCAAGTAAATTACGATATATATATATATATATATATTTTATATAGATTCAAAAAAACTTTTGAAACATGAACAAAGAAAAAAATTGACGAATGAAGAACTTTTTTATGATGAGAAATTAGATGATGATGATGAACTTTGGATGGAAAAAAAATTGTCTCGTATGTGTTCACTTTTATTTTATTTATTTTATTTTTTTAAAAAAAAAAACGTGTACTCATTAGCTTTCATGTTCATATAGAGCATGGATCAGATGCTATCTTGTCTTGTCCTCTATGCTTTACTCCATTGAGTTATCACACACAAAAGTAAACGAACAAAAGTTTCCGTTTTGAAGTTGCCTTATTCTTTTTCAATCAACTAATCATAAAATTTTAACTATTAAAGACATGAACTTTATTCCAATCAATATCGAGCAATTTTCGTGGAAAATTGTAAGATCATTAAAACAGAGAAATTGTTATATGATGAAAGTAAACGAAAAAATAAAAGGCGTCAAAATGGAGATGAATCATCGAATGGATCAAACGCAAAGCAAGAATCTTATTATCCCGTCGAATGTAAAACTTGTGGTACCAAAGTTGCTGTAATGGATGAGGATGAAGTTTTTCATTTTTTTAATGCGATTCCTTCATAATAAAGGCTTTGATCTCTTCGGAGTAATTTATCATGTGTTTTATGTACATAACAGGATTATGTTTTTTAAGAATTTCGATCAAAATTTTTGATGAGATGAAATTTAATGATACATCTTTTTAGTCTGATGAATTTGTTTGTTCTGTGTACTTCAAAAAAATCCTCAATAAATTTTAACCATTCAACAGACATACAATCACCGCATCGTCAAAGTCTTGACATTAGAATTTAGTTTTTTTTAGTGAAAAAGTAAATGCCTTTCCTATTTCTAAATAATTTTAAAAATGATGATAAATGCAATCCATGATTTATTAACAAAAAATCGTTTTTGGTTTAATAAAATAAACCAATAAAGAGAATAAACTTTAATATCATATGTTGTATTAATTAAAAGAAAGCAAAAAGGTATAACAAAAAAAAAGACATAGCAAAAGACTATTATATAAAAATTAAATATGCTACAATGATTACTTAACGATAATAATAAAATAAATAAATAAATAAATATACAGTTTGAAATGTATTTTTTCTAGATAAATTTTACCAATCTAATTTCTTATCACCACATCCAACGTCAGCACATCCATCATTTATTTTACCCAAAATTTCTATTCTGGTTTTAGCTGATCGTTGCAAGAATCTGCTCTTTTCATGAGTACCATTCTTGGTAACCTTCCATTTACTTGTTCCAAGTATTCTATCAAGTTCTTGAACTGGTGGAAGATTTAACCAAACGAAATCATCAAGGATCTTGACTTCAAAAGTCATAAGCTTAAGTTCTACATCGCCGGATATACATTCGCCTGTATCCAACGAAAAGTTTTTCTTGTGCATTGGGCAGCTCACTTTTAAGATTCCATTTTCATCGTCACCCACCAACCCTTGAGATAATACGAATGCGCGCTTGTGTGGACACATATTTTGCGTTGCGTACCACTTTGTACGCCCATGTGTATTAAATATTGCGATCTGAGTGTCTCCATATTTTATGACTTGACCTGCTTCTATTGGGAAGGAGCTTGTAAGAGCGATTTTAACCCAAGACTTATCAGTAAGGGATTTGTTGTCGGGAACCACAAGATCATCGTTGAATTTTTTGGGCCAATCTGCAGGTCGTTGCTGACCACGTTCTGTTATGTATTCAATTCCATCGATCGTTTCATCTGTATTTACAAATTGAACAAAGTCCTCACGTCTTTTTGGGTCGTTAACCACCCTAGTCCACTTTTTGAATTCAAATTAAATAAAATGAGATTTAATCATCAAGTATTTATACGATAAATTTTACATACAACGTTGAATAATTAGTTAAAAATTATGATTCTTACCTCACATTCATAAGTGTAAATCAAACGAGCCATATCTTCTTCTAATTCAGCACATATGCCGAGATAATCATCGATGACAATTTTTTTAAGGTACTAAAAAAGAAAAATGGAAAGGTGCGTAAATAACGAATAAAATAACGAATAAAATATTATTACAAAGACAACACATATGCTTATGAACTTACTTCAATTCCACCATCCATTTTTTCTAACCATCTGGCCGTACGCGTCAATCTATCTGCCGTGTGAATATAATACATCAAAAATCGATCTATATACTTAATTGCGGTTTCTTCCGAGATATCCCTCGCCAATAGTACGGCATGTTTTGGTTTGGCACCACCATTTCCACAGACATAAAGGTTATAACCATTTTCTGTCGCGATAAGACCAAAATCTTTTCCTTGGGCCTAAAAACGGTAAAAAAAATTTTAGTTTAAAAAAAAAGGGACAGGAATTTGATTACGAAAAAGAACAAAAGTCCCGTGACTCACCTCAGCGCACTCCCTAAGACAGCCTGAAATTAACAAGGCGAATGGTTAAATCCAATAATGTACCAAACGTCCGAAGAAAAAAGTTTTTGACAACTTACCCGATACTGCTGCTTTTATCTTATGTGGTGCTCTTATTCCTTTATATCGATCCTCAATAGCAATTGCAAATCCAACAGCGTCATTCATACCATATCTGTTTTTGTGAAATATAAAAAAAAAAAAAAGTTAGGCTATTGAATTAACATATAACATAAAAAATCATGATAATAATACTTGCCGGCACCATTCGCTTCCCACACTAATAAAATGTGTGATAATTTTTTAGTATAAATTATATAAACGAAAACAGGGGTATGATAATTTTAATAACTTACCATGATTTTACGGTTCTCAGGGCTTTTCCATAAGCATGACCGGATTCAAAACCGGCGTTAACAAGCTCTTCCCAAATAGCAGGTAAATCTTGTTTTTTAGCACCGAAAAGGTCAATTCTTTGACCACCTGTAATCTTGGTGTATAACCCATATTTTTTGGCAACTTGACCAAGCACAACAAGTTTTTCTGGCATAATTTCACCTCCAGGTACTCTAGGGACAATAGAATATAATCCACCACGTTGGATGTTAGCAAGGTAACGATCATTGGTGTCTTGTAAATTGGCATGGTTAAGAATATGATCGTTCCATAAACTGGCCAAAATTGACGCGACGGCTGGTTTACAAATTTCGCATCCATGAGTTCCTTTTTTGCCAACCTTTTCGATGACGTCTTTAAAAGTGGTCAACTTCTTTATCTTGACGACTTGGAATAGTTCCGCACGAGTTAGGCTGAAATGAGGACAAAGCGCATTCGTCACCACATGACCTAATGCCTTCATTTCGACTTCAAATATTTCTGTAACGGCCGGAAGACATCCACCGCAACCCGTACCAGCCTTAGTACATGATTTAATTTGACCAACGGAACGACATTCATCGTTCTGAATTGCTTCTCGAATTTGACCTTTTGATACATTATTACACGAACTTATAAAGGTTATAGATTTAAAAAAAAATATATATAGATATATATATTAAAAATTAAAATCAAGTTATAAACAATTTCACTCATAACTTCAATCGAAAGCTTACCAAATTTGAGCCTCATCAGGAAGGTCATCTGCACCTGGAGCTAGTCCAGATTGAACACCAAGGATAAGTTCACCAGGAGGGGCAGTTAAGACTTTCTTTGATTTCATGAGGGCGTGAAGTTTGGCGTAATCTTCAGTGTCACCGACCATGATACCACCAATCAAGTACTTTCCATCCTTTGAGAATAAAAGTTTTTTGTACACCGAACCAAAGGGGTCGTTATACACAAGAGGCATTGCCACATCTTCTTTGGCAAAATAATCACCAAAACTAGCGACATGAACTCCCAAAAGTTTAAGTTTACTTGACAAATCACCTCCCAAGAACTTTTTATCGCCATTTGTGGCCAAGTTATTTGCAACAACATCAGCCATATCATAACCGGGCACGACAAGTCCATAAATCATACCGCCATACAACGCCACTTCACCTATTGCGTAAACGTTAGGATCACTCGTTCGTAAGCATTCATCAACAAATACCCCACCGCGTTGGTGAGTTGAAATCCCCGACGCCTTGGCGAGCTCGTCACGTGGACGAATACCCGCAGCAACGATCACCATGTCCAATGGAATTGTTTCATTCTCAAATCGAATTCCCGAAACCTTTCCTTCTTCGTCCGTGGTAATTTCCTTTGGTGGTACACCGAGAATACATTTGATTCCAAGCTTTTCGATTTCTTTTTGAAGCATTTGTCCTCCTACGGTATCCAATTGTCTCGCCATCAATACTGGAGCCATCTCAATGATTGTGACTTCCAAACCCAAATCCATTAGAGCTTTGGCGGCTTCAAGACCAAGTAAACCACCACCGATTACGGCACCACGTTTGGAATTTTTACTATAACTTATGATATCGGTCAAATCTTTAATGGTACGATATACAAATACACCCGGTTTATCCCAACCAGGGATCGGCGGTACAAATGCATAGGATCCCGTGGACAATATACATGTATCGTAAGGCACAGATATTCCACTCGCAGAGATTACACATTTCGTGGTTGTGTCGATTTTGGTCGCCTTTTCGTTTGTGTGAACGATCACATTATTTTCTGAATACCAGCTTACAGGCTGCATCAACATTCGTTCTTCCTCTCGATGAGCAAAATATTGAGTCAACCCGACTCTGTTGTAAGCAACTTTTTATTTTTTTTAAAAAAAAAAATAAAATAAAAAAATTAATCATCCAAACCAATTGAAACTCGATTCGATTTTAAAAGGAAAAAAAAAAAATTTTTTTACCTTGAGGTTCTTCACAAAATATTTCTACCCTAAATTGGTTATTTTTGTCATACTTTAATAATTTTTCAACAAATGATAAGCCGACCATACCAAGACCGCAAACTACTACGGTCCGTTTATCGTCAACTTGAGCAACTACTTCATTAGGTGCCATTATATGATTTATTATAAAATTTAAGTAAAGATCAAAAAAAAAACAAAAAAAAAAAAGGTGAGGGTAAAAAAAAAAAAATTGGCAATTGTGAATAACTTATTTTGTTGTATGACCCAATTTATATAAGGAAAAAAAAAAAAAAAAAAAAAATTCCACCTAATTAAAATTTGTAATGCGATTTAATTGATAAGAAAGCAAGAAATTGAAAAATGCGTGATAATCTTATCAAGAAATCGGTTAGTTTGCTGATAACGAAAAAAAAAGTAAATTTTAATAGAAAGCGAACGGCAAAGAACGGATAAGAACGGATCAGCATATAGACGAAAATTTATTTATGTAGTAAACAAATCTCTTATCTTGGTGTTCCCTGTGATAAGAGTTATCACCAAATGGTTAGCGTATCACCAATTTTTTTTTAATCAAAATTAATGGAGTAACAGAATGTAAGTGCAGCTGAATGCATAAGATGTGCAGAAAATAATTACATTTTCTTGTTATCTGGAAAAATTTGTCAAAAGATAGCCTAATCATCAGATTTATTCATCTCATGCGGTCTGATTGATTTTAAAAAAATCCAAAGTGCCAATTCAAAAAAAAACATTGTTGAAGATCAATTTTAGTAAACATAGCAGGGATCCCGTTGATCAAATT